TAGACCGGGAGATGGTGACACTTTTTGTGGTGTGATTTGCTACAAGTATGGCGACCATTCAAACGTTTAATTAAGTACTCCTCAAAACGAAAATGGTGCTAACTCTCTGGGAGTGGGGCCGTTATTGCGTGACGATTGTTTAAACATGTCGAAAGATTTAATGATTTTGGACAATTTGCTACACAAAATTCTTTGGATTTTCTGGTAGTCGGTGACAAAACAAATGACGGAAACGAAATGCCATACTTTTCCGGTGGGCCTTATAGCCCGCCATACTCATTTGAACGTGTCGATTGTTTGTTTTTTTTTGGGTGATTTGCTACAATCTCATTTTTTTATGAGCATCAAGTCCTCAACCAGTCATGCACGAAAATCAACCTGCCATACCGCAGCGACGGGCCCGCATAGCCGCCATACCGGCACAAAGATGTCATTTTTGTTAATAATTTTGGGTGATTTGCTACAGTATGGCATTTGGATTTTCCGAAAGTTCATGCTCCACATTGATCCATGATATATGTGCCATACTCGTCATGAAGGCTAAAGATGGCGCCATACTCGAAAATCTGTTTTCTTAAAACATCTTTGTGCTATAACTGGGACAAGCAAGAACCTTGAAAACGACCTTCTCGTGAGCTTCAAAAAAATGATTTTATTATTAAAAATTGGTAACACAATCCATTCAAAAGAATAATTGTTCTAAATTGATTAACTTATCCCGACAAGATATAATATCGTACTCGCGTTTAACAATTATCGTCATCGGTCTCTTTTGTTTCGTTCCCATTGCCCTCGTCAGTACTCAAATCGATTTGATTTTCATTCTCTTGGTCAATGCGATCCAGAATGATATAGGTATCCGACAGTAGTGGGCATGTCGTCGCCGTCGAACCAATTAAATTCATAATTATATGTGTGCGTTAACTTCTATCCGTAATATTCAGGACTATAATAAAATATAAAATACATATATAAAATTATGTTGATGGGTATGTCAGATGCACAGTGCCAACTTTCTTAATTATGAAAGCATCTAAATGAAATTTTATACCTATATGCGCACTTAGAGGTGCAAAACTTGGTCTTGAACATGCTATAGCCATACCCAGGAGCTCGTTTTCTATATTTGTTTAAACGTTTATTATTATTATTATGGTAGGTGTATCTTGTGAGAACTCAGGTCTAGCCTGGTTAACTAATCGCACGGATTAAAATCAAGTAACGATTAGTGTCTGTGTCTGGTGAAGTTATGTAGCGCCCTAAAAAAAAAAATAAATAAATAAATAAAATAAAAATAAAAATAAAAATAAAAATAAAAATAAAAATAAAAATAAAAGTAAAAATAAAAATAAAAATAAAAATAAAAATAAAAATAAAAATAATAATAATAATAATTATAAAAATAAAAAATTAAAAATTATTATTATTATTAGTGTTATTTTCATTTGTATAATGTTCAAATTTTCATCGTTTCTTAATTCGAAATAAACACAACTGCCCTGAAAATTTTATCAAAATTGATCAAAGTCACTGGGTGTTCAGATACTTATGGCGGATAGTATAAACTTGATGGCAGCTACTATCTACTACCTGCGATCCATTGAATGCAATGTAGAACACAACGACCCCGACCGGGACCTCTACAACTTGACTAAGAAGTTCGAGTGGGGCGGAGAAGATTAAGCGACATAACATCTCGTGGTAAAACAAGATTGGCCTGGGATTCATGTTTGAAACTTGATATTTACTTTTATTACACCTCAAACTGTCACGAAAAATTGGTGCCATACTGTAGCAAATCGCCCAAATTTTCCGAAAATTCTTACATTTTTGAAAAAATATTATACATAATTGGCCCATGCCATGGCGTATCGAAATTTCTATTTCTGACTATAAAAATAATAGGTGGAAAAATTTATAGGGTGCAGAAAATCGCCCAAAATTATTAACAAAAATGACATCTTTGTGTCGGTATGGCGGCTATGGGGGCCCGTCGCTGCTGTATGGCAGGTTGATTTTCGTGAATGACGGATTGAGGACTTGATGCTCATAAAAAAATGAGCTTGTAGCAAATCACCCAAAAAAAATACAAACAATCGACACTTTCAAATGAGTATGGCGGGCTATAAGGCCCACCGGAAAAGTATGGCATTTCGTTTCTGTCATTTGTTTTGTCACCGACTACCAGAAAATCCAAAGAATTTTGTGTAGCAAATTGTCCAAAATCATTAAATTTTCCGACATGTTTAAACAATCGTCACTCAATAACGGCCCCACTCCCAGAGAGTTAGCACCATTTTCGTTTCGAGGAGTACTTAATTAAACCTTTGAATGGTCGCCATACTTGTAGCAAATCACACCACAAAGTGTCATCATCTCCCGGCTATAAAGGATATGAACCTTCTTTAGGGGACGCCCGTCGTTAGCAAGGAAGATCTAACTAAGGAACGACTATCCTTGTTTAGAGAGTTACTATGCAAGGTTGGGGACAAGAACTGCTGGTCCAGGGATGGCAAATTGTATTGTAAAATTAATAACCAAATACGGCTGATGACTACTGACGCTGATTTAAATGATGTCCCGAAGTTTAATTAGTTCATGTTTTCTCCTGTTTTGCGAATGTAATGTTAATTTAATTTAGATTACCTTGCCATATCTCACCTTAAATTATGCAAACTTTTGCCGGAAAATTATTCTCATTTTCTAGAGCGCACATCTTATTTTATTTTTTTTTAATTTTTAAAGCATAATTAATCAATTCAATTTTTTTTCTTTTTGTGTATTGTCACCTTAATTAATTTGTTTTGTTTTAGGCAGGTCGCACAGGAATATAAAAATTGGGCATATAAATGTACGTTCATTAGTCCCTAAATTATCCGATGTAAAAGAGAAAATCTTCATGCATAGTTTAGATATTTTGGCCATTTCGGAAACCTGGCTGACAAGTGAAATTAATTCTAACGTTTTGGAATTTGACGATTTTAAAATACTACTGAATGATCGTCCGACCAGGGGTGGCGGGGTCGCTTGGTACTATAAGCAGGGATTAAGTATGACTTTAATAAAGACAGCTGGCAATATTGAAGAACTGTGGTGTTTGGTAAGCGGAAAAGGTGTTAAAATTGTTGTCGGTGTAGTTTACTTACAGGCCCCCCAATCATTATTACAAAGGATTTGTAAACGAATTAGAAGATTCGATTATTCTGTGCTCGTCATTGGCCGCCGATTTTGTTTGCTTAGGGGACTGTAATATTGACCTTTCAGATCTTGATCATCCAGGTACATCCCTCTTCCTAGCTAATTCTCTTGAGTAGTTTAATTTAAAGCAGTTAGTCTCTAAGCTTACTAGAATTGGTTTACACAAAGCTGCTTTATTGGGTCTCATTATTGTCTCAGATGATTCAATTATAAGCATTATAAGCATGAACTGATATTTTGCGATGTATTATTTCCCTCTACACAAAAAGTGCCTACTATTCATACTTTTCAACTATAAACGCTTCAATACTGTTTTGTTTTATGAAGAGTTGCAGAACTTATCTCTTGAACGTTTGTACCAACTTGGCAAATCTCAATGACAAGATTCAGTTTTTCGATAACTGCATAATTGCCTTATTCGATAAACATGCTCCCTGGTGTAGAGTAGCGTTTTCCAGAAAACCATTACCCTGGCAATGTTAGGCTTTTAATGAATTTACGGGATAAAGCTAAAAATAGGCACACACATAATCCTTCTGGGGAAAGCTGGAATTATTCTAAGCAGCTGTGAAATATGACTAACAATGCAATTAAATCTGAAAAGCGAGCCTATTTTAAGTTCATTGTTCAAACAAAAAATTCCAAACAATTATGGTCCGAACTCAAACGATTGCATATAAAGGATAGCCGTCAAAATGAATTTAGCAATCTTCAAATAGATGCTGATGCAATTAATGATCACTTTGTTTTAAATTACCTATTGATCAGGAAGTTCTGAATCACTACAAATTATTATATGACCTAAAGATTGTATGCATTGTAGAACCGATTCCACAAAGAAAAAAGGTCATAACAGTTATCATTATTTACTAGTGGACGTATATCGTGGTATAAAGGTTACCCCTGCGCCGATATTGTTATTAAGTGACCTAAGATGATGCGAATTGTGTTGTGTTTTATTTTTATTTCTGCAAATTGTGAGGCTCGGGTAGGTAGATATATTTATGATGTTTTCCACATGGTTAATCGCTATGCTTACCTAGGGCAAGTTTGCTGCGGTTATTTCTCAATATCAAGATACAATTAAAGAATACAGAGATATCTGCCTCGAAGAAACGGACACAAAACCAAATAAATTGGAGAGTTTATTGAACCATGGTGTTTATGACAAGATCGACGATAACTTGAAGTGTTGTTTACGATGCCTGTATTTGAAATTGAAAATATTTGACGAAACTGGTAAAATTAGTGAAGAGACAATGAGAAAAACTTCGGGAACAGAAAATTTGGAAGTTCAGGACATGGTAGTTTCAAAATGTCAGTTTAGAAATGCCAACCTGTGCGAACAAGCTTTCGATATTAGTAATTGCACGTATTATACTGTAAAAAATGTCTATTAAAAATGTAAATCGCTTACGTCAAGTTTAAGGACGGAATTTACCCTATCTAAGGATAAACAACGCCCTAGTAA